GGTATATATGGTAAAAATGCTACAAATTGTATTGGATTTATAAGTGTGACACTTATTATGAAATAAACCAAAACTTGATTTGTGACACTTAAAATGGATCGGAGGGAGTAGTAGAAAATATAATTGTTTCTTCAAAATTGATGTCTCTGGGAAGGTTGATGCTAATAAATGAACAACAAGCTTTTTTGTAATCATTTTAATCCAACCAATAACACTTTGTAACTCTTTCATTTAGTGCATTGTTGAATAAAGAGAGAGCTTTGGAGGATGTGCTAACTATGCAATAACTGGTAAATTTAAAAAAAAATTAGCATTACTAAAGGATGAATACCATGCATTTGTTTAAGTCAAGGTCCTCATCTCAATTGCACTCTATTTACGAGCGTTTTCTTCTTGTAGCATGGTATCCCCCCCCCCCCCCATTTTTTTTGGTGCAATTGAGATGAGGACCTTGACTTAAACAAATAGATGGCATGGGGTCTTGAAAACCTGCACAAATTGTCTTGACACTACTAGAAAACATGTTTACTGCTATGGGTAATTTCCATAGCAATAAGTCTGAAACCCATACTAAAATGAATCAGCTATGGAAATTGCTTGTAGCCATGTCCCTTGCAAATACTGGCGTTGCAAATGATATATAGCTACGGACTTACCATGTTCGTAGCAAGTAGCTACGGACAAAATCCGTAGCTAATAGTCCCAAGACTGTAGCAGATGCTTTGGACGGAAGTTAACGTTTCCGTCTACTTGTCCGTAGCAAATCCGTAACACGTTCGTATCTAAATGTCAAAAGTCAACCTAGATATTTGAGTTGACTTTCCGTAGCTATTGGTAGACATGTCTGTAGCAGGTTCGTAGCGAATATATGCGAAGGCTAACATGATATTCATTGCAAATATGGACTATGCCCGTAGCAAGTACAATTATGTTCGTAGACACTGTACTGACCCTAAAATAAAGCTCGTAGCAAATAGGAATATGTTCGTAGCCATGCAAATAAGCAATCGTAGCTAGTCCGTAGCTAAATTGATTTCTATTTTATTCTTATTTGGCAATTTCTGTAATATTTATATATTTAATAATTTTGGCTTATTTACAAATCTAATAATCTATGAAAGTAATTCACACTTAAATCTAGAGTAAATTAAATTTATATACTCTAACTATCAAAATATTATATAAATAACAGTACTTCCTACAATTAGATTGTATATACAAAATAAAGTAATTGAAAGGGCAAGTGTTTTAGAGCAACTTCACCAACAACAAGGTGGGTAATTAAGTGTGCAATTACTGAGCACAGTCTACATATATAACAAAAAATAAAGTCATTGAGCAATATATATACCATTCCATTAGAACAAAAAAGTGTCCTTAAGTGTATATTCCCTACAAATGCCCAATGCTCCCACACTCAGCCTCATACACTGCAAAATAACATAATTAAAGTTTAGAAATCATATTCAAAGCATTGGAGACCTCTCAATCGACGGCAAGAAGGTCCTTCAACGGTGGTCCGACTGCCGAAAATCCAACTTCACGGTGAGGAGACTTTTGATTTATAATGGAACTTGGCCTTTTTGGGTTTCAAAGTATAAATCTTCAAATAGGTTTTTCAAAGGCAGCATAAATAACTAAAAATCGAATGAAAATCTTCAACCATTTTTGTGAGTTGTTGATGAGCGGTCTTGAGGGTTGTGTTTGAGTGTGACCAGTGGCCGTGGGGTAAGCAAGAGTGAGGGTTCTGTCGAGTTTTGGAAAAACAAAAACCTAAGTGGTTGAAGCTTCCTTAGCTTTTATATCTACATTTTGCTACGGACACTAATTTACTATTAGCTATAGACACTCCGTAGCAAACAAACATGGGCTTTTTTTACTTGTAAAATATTTTAAAAGTTTTTTTTTCGTTAACTTTTTCATCCTTGTCTAATTACGCCATTTACAAAGTTCGTTGTTAGCCCGTAGCTAAACCCGTAGCCGATATTCTAATTGCGAAATTCGTAGCAAACACGTTGCAAGTTGCTACGGATGTACCCGTAGCAAACAATTTCAGTAGAAATAAATTGATTCCCGCCAATTAAAATTTTCCCGTGTGTTAAATAGCTTCAAATTGCTACGGCGCGCTACGAATCCGTAGCAAATACACTTCTTTACCCGTATCTAATGCGTAGCTATTGAGATCAATTGAATTTTTTTTTCCAGTATTTTTGTGTCCGTAGCAATCCCGTGGCTGATATACCTTATTTGCTACGGATTTGTCCGTATCAAAATTTGTCCGTAGCAATAGACTATGTTTTCTAGTAGTGAATAGCTCCTTTCTGTAAAGTAATTAACCAACTACACTCCTAATAATGGCCTAAATAGTTAATGAAACTTAAAAGACTGGAATGAGAGGAATTGAAGCGAAAGATTGTTACTCTTCTATATAAATCAAAACTTAAATACTGCAGCAGGGGTTGCTTCATTTATAGTTTCTTCATTTTATGTGTTTTGCTTGTGACTAATTTTGATATGGCTTAAGTTATCTACCTAGTTAATTTCCAAGTTTATCTATTTTAGCAGAAATTATCCATTTAGCTATTTCCTAGCAATTATCTATTTTTTCTAATTTTTCTATATGTTGCAAGAGGGACTTAGCTGTCTCATATATATCTATCCTTTGTAACAGAATGGGCAAGCAGATTATTCAGAACTATTTTTCCTTCTCATCTTACATTTTCTCTCTACAACTTCCTTTTTTTTTTCCTAATTTCCTTCACCTTCTCCCTTGATATCTTTTCTTCTCTTGTGAACCTTATCAAATTTTTTATATTGATTTTGTTCCATATGATTGTAGGACGCATGCTCCACAAGGTGAACCTCCATTAACTGAGGAGGAGATGGTTGTCAGGAATGACATGACGAGACTCTGGTTATAGTTTTTGCACGCGGCACTGTGGTACTATCCATCTGATCAGTTCCTTCTCTGGAACGTTTTGCGTTTTCATGTTTTTGGTGTCTCCAACCTTTATAACTCATCACCTCCCCCATGAACAAGATGATCTATATGGTATAAAACTATTTAACACCTTACATGATGTGTGCATTCTTGTAGATCACTTTGTTTATGAGAACATAACCCTCTAGATGGACTCGATGTATTTCTACGTTAGTGGGGTAATTAGACTATGATTTCCACAATTTGAGTGGGTTAAACAAGGGCAAGATAACCAAGAATTATAGTGTCGCTCCCCCTTGCTAATGTGATTTTTCCGTTTCGCTTGGGTTGGAAGACTAGGACTTTCCGTTTCAAGAGGTTGGCTGATAATGTATATGCAGGGTGGACCATGATGGTTTATCAGCTCGATACTTGTTTAGTCTTTGAAGACCTTCTAGTAAATTTTGCAGCTCCGTGGAGACTTTTGAGAATTGTTGGCTGAGCAGGATATGAAATGCCTTCATTGGCACTTGGATAGGCAGCAAAATCTTACATTCAGTTTTTGTTAAAATATACCAAAGAATATTGAAAATTATGTGGCTCTTCTGCTATGGCTTATGGTAATAGAAAAAGTTAATGTTGTCATCAAAAAAACTTATCCACTAATGAAAACAAAAAAAGTTGGTCGGATAGATAATATTGTCATCTAATTCGAGCTCTTTGGCTTAATTTCTGGTAAGTGGAAGCCAAGCGAGATAATAACAAAATATGTCCTTAGTTTGGGATCTATACTATCTTATATACACGATATATACACTTACTATCTATAATGATAATCCCAAAGAAAGAAAGCATGACAAGTGACTTAATTCATGCATGCCACTGGTCATGCTCTTTTTCTTCTTTTTTCTTTCACCCAAAAAAGGTATTTATTGAAAAATCCTTAGATCTTCTCACTTTATGTTGTTGAGTCATTAGACATTTATATTTTTTATGATTTTACCCTTCAACTTTATACCTTTTATAAGAAAGTTTTCAGAAATTTATATTTTATGATTTAGATCCTTTACAATATTTTATTCTATACGATTTAATCCTTAATTTTCATTTCTTTTATTTTTTAAATATTTTTATTTTCACTTATCAATACCCTTTAAATAATCTTATAAACTTTTATGTTAGTATACTAAACCCCAGGGAAGTGCGGATGGCATTTACTATCACTAGGCTGCATCACAAAGAAAACTTTATCAACCCCTAAAGAGGGTGACAATGCACAAACTCGTAAACCCTATTCCCAAGGCGTCGATCGACTGCCTGAGGCCTTAAATAGGAGTTAACCTTAAAAAAAGGGACTTATATATATAATTCGTATTATCAACAGTAAAAAAGGGATTGAAACACATAAAGGAGTATCATATCTTCAAAACAAGCATAATTAAACTGAGCAAGGTCCTCTACATGCAAGAAGTTAAGTATGTGATGAGCTACCATTTCATCAAGACCACTCAACCTATCAGTTTCATCCTTCCTCTTATCAATCGTTGATGCCATGTTCGACAATCAATATAAACAATATAACAAGGATTCTAAACTAGATTTGTTTCTCAAAATTGGAAAAAAAATTAAAAGAAATATTAAAACAAAAATAAATCAAAGCGAATGGTATACAAAAAGTTATTGTAATGCAAAATCCCCAAACAAACACCACGATCAACATTAAAAAAGGATAAGAAATTGGAGCAAACAGGCGTTCGTGTCGTGAACTTCAGTTCGTCGTTGCAAAATAGATAGAGAAAAACACTAATAGCCAGGAACCGACACAACGAGCACGAATCGAATCGATCAAGTGAGTACAAAAAGCAATTGAAGCATAAACATTACGAGAAAAAAAATGCTTTCTCTCCTCGTTTGAGAGCTTCTCTCTCCCATTGAGGGTCTCTCTCGTGCACCTCCGAGAATCCACCCTTTCTTAGGGTTTTGTTTTTCCTTTTCTCTTTTCCTTCCGCCATCGTCTTTTCTTTTCCTTTCCTCTTTTCCCTTTTCCTTTTTCTTCCCTGGTTTTGTTTGGGTTTTTGCCATGGAGGATTTGGTGCTAGATCTGGAGGTTGCATCAGATCCAGAAATGGAGAAAGTTGGATGGTCTGTTTTGGGTAAGATCGCGTCGGAGAAACCTCTTAATAAGGGGGTTGTGAAGGCGATCCTGGGGAATCTATGGCCGGAGAAAGATGTACCAATCATCGGTGATGTGGGAAGTAACTTGGTAAACCTGATTTTCACCTTTGAGGAAGTGATGAACAGGGCTCTAACTAAGAACCCGTGGTCGATGATGGGTTACTATTTGAATCTTAAGTATTGGCCACCGGATAAGGCGATTAGGGAGGTCGATTTGGACTCCATTGCCTTTTGGGTTCAGATCCATAGTCTCCCACGTGAAATGATGATGAAGAGCAACGCCATGAAGATTGGTTCTTCCCTGGGTAAGGTGATAGAAATTGAGGAACCAAGAGGGAGGTTTGGAATTAATAGAAGTTTCCTCCGTGTTAGGGTTGAATCGCGAGCCGAAAATCCCCTTGTTCCTGTCTGCTGGGTTAACCGGCCGGGGGGTGATCGGGCATGGGCCGAGTTTAATTATGAAAAGTTGTCGGACTTTTGTTTCAATTGTGGACGGCTGGGGCATACCTGCAAATTCTGTCGATCAGAGGTAGCGGTTGCTCAGAGGTTTGGACCATTTATGAGAGCACCGATGGCAAAGCAACTTCTTTCGCCGGGAAAGCAAAGGAGTATCTCTTGGGACGGGCGGAAAAAACCCTGGGAATGTGACTGGCATTTACAGAAGGTGGCGCGTGGGTTTAATGTTGATCCTGTGAGTGAAAAGGTGGTGCGTGGACTTAATTTTGATCATGCGAGTGAGAAGGCGCGTGGGGTAGATGATGTAACGGCTAAGGCGCTGGGTACGCAGAATGTTACCTTGGGAATAGCGAGCGGCAGTTTTGGAGATGCTAAGGTGGGACCTAATATGCCAGCTCAGCAGCCAGCCTCTGACATTCGTCTGGTGGATACGGATGTTACTATGGGAGTTTCTAGAAGGTCGGCTGATGTGGCTACCAGGAGGCCAGGTAAGGGCCCATCTCTATTTGGACCCCACTTTGATATTCTTTGAGGTTTTTCATATCCTGCTGGTTCGGGGCAACCCGATCCCTCTACTTTATTATCTTCTGGTTCGGACCTTTCTCAGTCCAAAGCCTTGGTACTTACTGGGCCCAGTTAGCCCAAGTGTGATGTTGTGGCGTCTACTAAGACAAAGTTTCCCAACTTTGATGTTTCTCTTATTCCTATTCCTCAAATTGAGGAAGCTCGAGAGCAAGCAGTCCCTGAAGCTGACTACCCAGATGAGCCAGGGGTTCCAGAGCTCGATTATCCAGAAACTACAAAGACATATGAGCCTGATAGTCCAGAAATATATGAATCAGGGTCGCAGGATATTGTTAATCGACGTAAGCTACCCAACCTATCTCCTGTGAAAATGATCCGCACAGTCATGAACCTCTCAAATGTGTTTCACAGCCTTCATTTGAAAAGGGGCGCAGGCGATGATATTGATTTAAAAGATTGTAAGAAGAAGCAGAAGGTGGTTGGCCTACTAAATCCAGATCATATGGATTCTGATTGTCAAACTATTGATTTGGAGAGGGCCCAAGAAAAAGAAGTTCTTTGCCTTGGGCTGGGGAAGTGTGTGCCTCAGACTAAAAGAAAGTATAAAAGAAAGGCCGGGGTGAGAGGCCGGGGCAGAAAGGCTAACTCAGCTGTTGTTATTCGAGAGTTGGAGGATCCGCACGAAGTACCAATTACTCAAGCTAGTTTGAATTCTGTGGGTTATGATGGCTGTCCCGCAACAGCCATCCAAGGGCTGTGATAGGTGTGAGCTGAAACTGTCAAGGGATTGGATCACCCCCGACAGTCAGAGCCCTTAAAGGGCTGAAGAGGAATACTGATCCTGGGTGGATTTTTCTCATGGAGACAAAGAATAACAGTGTGAAGGTGGATAATCTTGGAGGAATGTTGGGCTATGACAATGCTTTCTATGTGGAGCCAGCTGGTTTGAGTGGGGGATTGGCTATTTGGTGGAAAAAGGGCATTGATATAAGAGTGTCTGACTGGACCCAGAATTTCATTGAAGCCTGGGTGTAGGAGGACAGAAGAAGCCAGAGTTTTAAATGCTTTTTTGTTTAGTGCCCTGTTGACTTTGAGGATCGACAGAGACTTTATCAGGTGCTTGTGGAGAGAATTACTATAACTGAGGGTCTTGTGTTGTGTATGGGTGACTTCAATGATATCTTGACCCCTGAGGGGAAGAAAGGTGGTAATCTTAAGGAGAAAAGGAAGATGGAGGGTTTCAGACGCTTCATTGATGATAGCTCTCTCATTGACATGGGCTATAAGGGGCAACACTTCACCTGGTTTTGCCGAAGGGACAACCAGCTCATTTGGCTAATGGAGCTTGGTTGCAGTGTTTCCCTGATGCGCAAGTCTTTAATCAGCCCGCCATTGGGTCTGACCACTTACCCATTCGTCTTGACACAACGCCTGAGGTTCCTAAAGCTAAAAGGTATTTTAAATTTGAGGCCATGTGGGTTGATAATCTTAATTGTGAAGAGGTTATCAAAGAAGGCTGGCTTACTCAAGTGGATGGCTCCGGGTGTTATAAATTGGTTAAAAAGTTGCAAAGAAGCAGTCATCTGCTAGGTAGATTGAGCAAAAAAGCTTTCCCCAATAACAGAGAGCTTCTCATTGACTTGACTGCCTAGTTGGCCAAGATCCAAAGTGGTGAGGAGATGGATAACTCTTCTGAGGACCTTCACAAGATTGTAAAGAAGATTGATGAAGCTTTGGAAAATGAGGAAAGATATTGGTTTCAGAGATCAAGGGTGAAGTGGACCTTATTTGGGGACCAGAATACTGCTTTCTTCCACCAGACTACCCTCCAACGCAGACAGAGGAACAAAATCCTTAGAGTGAAGGATAGTAATGGGGTTTGGTTGGAAGATGAGGCTTTTGTTATAAACAAGTTCTCCCAACACTTTAGGAATCTTTTCTCTTCTGATACTGAGTATGATTGGAGGAAAGTAATTAGTCATATGCCGCAGGTGATTACTGAGGACATTAACAAGGAGTTGACTCAGCCGATCTTGGAAGAGGAAGTCAAATGGGCTACCTTTGAAATGGGGGCCCATAAAGCCCCATGCCCGGATGGTTATAATGGGCTTTTCTTTCAGAATTATTAAAGTGTTGTTGGACCTAACTTGATGAAATCTGCAAAAGGTTTCTTCCATGGAGGTTTTATGCTCAGAGAGCTCAACAGAACCAACATCGTGTTAATCCCCAAGGTGGCTAGCCCTGAGGAGGTAAGCGATTATCGCCCTATCAGTTTATGCAACTTTGCTTATAAAATTATTTCAAAAATCCTTGCTAACAGACTGAAGAAATGGTTGGATTTGGTTATTACCCAGAATCAAAATGCCTTTATTGCTAACAGACAGATTCAAGATAATATCTTAATTGCACAGGAGGTGTTCCATCACTTGCGGCTTAAAAAGAAGCGGAAGAGGTGTGAATTGGCTCTAAAGCTTGATCTCAATAAAGCTTACAACCGGGTTGAGTGGGGTTTTCTTGAAGCTGTTCTTTTGAAGCTGGGTTTTTGCAGGAAATGGGTTAGCTGGATTATGCAATGCATATCCACTGTTTCATACACTCTTGTTATGAATGGTAGGCCTGCCGGGGAGATTGTTCCTTCTAGGGGATTAAGGCAAGGGGACCCTTTGTCCCCATATCTTTTTCTGGTTGTTGTTGATGTGCTTTCTCGCATGATCCAGGATGCTATTGATGATGGCTCGGTGAAAGGGATTAAATTGTCCAAGCATTGCCCTGTCCTATCGCATCTGTTCTTTGCAGATGATGCCCTGCTTTTTATGGAAGCTAGAGTTCAGAACTGTCAGAAGGTAGCTGAGATTATTGAGAAGTTCTGTAAAGCCTCGGGGCAAAGGGTTAATTTGCTTAAATCGAGTGCTATTTTTAGCCTGAACACTAGTGACCAGTTGAGGAATGACATTGCTGGGAGCCTTGGTATTACGGTTGCTCAAAACCCTGGAACCTATTTAGGGATCCCTGGTCTGTGGGGCAAGACTCGTAAAGAAGTTCTATCTGTGCTTAAGTCTCGTATTCTCTCCAGAATTCAGGGGTGGAAGCAGAAGCTTCTCTCACAAGGAGGTCGTGAAGTGCTTATTAAAGTCGTTGTCAGTGCAATTCCCACTTACCTCATGGCCTGTTTCAAATGCCCTAAAACTTTCTGCCAAGAAATCAACTCTGCAGTAGCCAAATTCTGGTGGGGGCAGCTGAAGGAGGAAAGCAAGATACATTGGGTGAGCTAGGAGAAACTTACTTTGAGTAAAGATGAGGGAGGCTTGGGGTTTAAGGAATTGGAGCAGTTTAATATTTCTTTGTTAGGGAAACAAGCCCAGAGATTGCTTGAGAATGAGAATGCTCTTTGGGCCTGTGTCCTTAAAGGTTTATATTTTCCTCATTCCTCTTTTTTGGAGGCTAAAAAGGGGGCCAGACCCTCCTGGACTTGGTGCAACATTCTGGAGGGTAGAGATTTCCTCAAAGAACATATTTGCTGGCAGATTGGAGATGGGAACACTACAAAGATCTGGTAGGATAAGTGGGTTATGAGTGCTAAATATAGAATACTTCACCCTACTGTTAGTAAGGAGAATGATATGCAGAAGGTTTGTGAGATTATTGAGGAAGATACCAGAACCTGAAATATTAGCTCTATACAACATTGTGTCCCCCAGCTGAAAAGGAAGCCATCAGTAATGTTCCTCGGTCCAGATGTTATGGGAATGATAACGTGATCTGGCCTAATGACAAATCTGGAGACCACTCTGTTAAGACAGGCTATTACACTATTAGAAGTGGCAGGAGGATCCAAATTAGACCCTTGGTTTCCTCCTCTCATACTATTGATAATCAAGTGTGGAAGATCATTTGGGGTATGAAAGTTCCCCTAGAGTTAAACATTTCTTGTGGAGAACTGTTTAAAAGTCTCTTGCAACTAACTTAGCCTTGTGTGAAAAGAAAGTAAGGACTGATCTCCTCTGCCCGATTTGTAGGGATTCTCCTGAAACGGTTGAACATCTTCTTCTAACCTGTGAGTGGGTGCAAGGTGTATGGTTTGGGTGTTTTGACTACAGAATCAGTAAAAAGGATGTCACCACCTTTGATGACTGGCTGGTAGAAGTCTGTAAGAGTGCGAGGGGTGAGTCGAGGGAATTTCTTAAGTCGATGGTTGGCTTTATTTGCTGGACAATCTGGAAATTGAGATGTGAAGTTGTTTTCCATTATAAGAAGGTTGACCCTTATAGAGCTATATCCTAGATTAAAGTGGTTGCAGAGAATTTCTCTAAAATCTGGCGTGGCCATCTGTCTAGTAGGGCTACCACCAATGATATTGGTAAGCCTCCTGATCCCTGGTACCCCCCTGAGCCTGGCTGGATCAAAGTTAATGGAGATGTGGCTTTTAATCCTGCTAGTGATGAGCCTGGCTGGATCAAAGTTAATGGAGATGGGGCTTTTAATCCTGCTAGTGATGAGGTTGGGATTGGCATTGTTGTGAGAAAAACGATAAGAAAGAGTTGGTGGGATGTTATGCTGAAACTATCCATGCTAACTCTGCCCTGGAAGCTGAGGCTAGAGCCCTGAAAAAAGCTGCTGAGATCATTTTTGAGTCACAGGAGAGAAAGGTTATCTTTGAGACTGATTCTGCGGAGCTTGTGGCAGCCATTAATGGTGGGAAGAAGAAGAAGTGGACTGTTGAACCCTTTTTGCAGGATTTTCGTGAGTTGACTAAGGATCTTGCTGCCAAAAGGGTGTCTTTGGTTCATAGATTGGCAAATGTTGCTGCGGATTGGCTTGCTAAAAGCGTTAGTCAAGGAAAGTGCCCTTCGGGTAGAGTCTCGGTACTCCCTTTCCCTTTTGTTCACATTCTCAATAAGGATGGGCTTCCTGTGTCGCCTAGCTCTTCTTAGTGTTTTTGTTTTCTCTTTGTGTTTCTAGGCTAGTGTGGATCGTTTTATTGATCCTCGTTTTGGTCTAGGTCACTAGGAGAATTAGTGAATGTAATCCCTGTTTTTTGGTTATTAATAAAATAAGTAGACCCTTTTGATTAAAAAAAAAGCATAAACATTACGACTTACGAGGACGACCTAGTTATTAGATCTTAAGATGGGAATTAAGATTTTAAAATAAGGGGAAAAAGGTACTTTAAAATGAAGACCTTTTTTTTTCTTTTTGGCCAGAATTATCACTTGAAGACCTCCTGTTTTCATTTTTGGCCATAAAGACACTGTTTAGGAGAGAGATTTTTTTTTTGGAAAATGACACTTACACTATGTTTGGATTGGGGTAAAGAGGACGGGAAGGAAAGGAATGGAAAAGAAGTATGAACTCTTCACTTATTTGGATAACTTTTAAAAAAAAATATTTGAGGTAAAAACCAGACTTTCATTACGATAAAGAAGAAGTACAATCAGTTTGAAGAGGATTATGAAGCCAAGAAGGCATATCCTTAATCCATACAAGTTCTTCATCTAATGATAATCCAAATTTAGCAAGCTCATGAGCAACAGAGTTGCCAAGTCTGCTAACATAATGAAACCAGCAAAATTCTAATGAATTCATTATAATCTTCGCATCTTCAATGAGGAGAGCAACCGGGGAAAAGTCAATTACTGCGCAATTGAGCTTCTGAATAAGATTAAGAGCATCGCCTTCAATGATAACATTAGTGAAATCCATCTCCTTTGCCCAAGAGAGGGCTCGGGATAGCGTATATGTCTCAGCCATTAAAGCATCTGCCACAAACTTTATCTGACCCGCACAAGCACCACGAGGAAGCCCTAATGAATCTCTCGCAAATTAGACCATATCCCGCCACACAATCATCAGCACAAAAAGCACCATCGAAATTGATCTTAATCCGAGGAGACAAAGGTGGTTGCCATTTAGTTCGGATTCCCACCAGTGGAATTCTAGCCACCTCTTGACATCGCATTACTTCTTTTGCATAGGAGAAGGCATAAGATGCAGTGTCAAAAGGCCTCGTGATTTCTCCTGCAAAGACCAGAATTTCGTGCATTCCAGATTGCCCAAGATACAACAAGACCAATCCGAATCCAAACAGGATTTCTATCCCGAATTTCCTTTTCTCTTTCAGGGTCTTCTTCATGCTGTATAGAATCATCATTAAGATAAAAGCTCCACGCATGAGACCACACAGCTGCTGCAAAATCACATCCTTTAATGGATGGAAGCAAGTTTCCGCATGATTTTTGCAGCGGGGGCACAAACAATCAACATCCATTCCTCTTGATTGCAAATTATCCATGATAAGCAAACAATTAAGAAAAAGACGCTAAGCAAATATTCGAATTTTTGGTGGAACATCCGCCCGCCATATCTTCTTCAAAACTGCTCTATCTCCCCCTTCATCATCGAGAACAATTGTGGAGTCAGAGGATTCTCGTTGCAAGAATCGATACCCACTACGAGTTGTGTATTGCCCATTGTTGGATAACTTTTTAAATCAAATGAAAGGAAAGGGAATGAAATGAGTATCTCTCCATTTTTCTCTTATCTTCAATTTTACAATCCTCCCAAATTGGGGTTTTGGAAGGGAAAGGAAATGGTTACAATCTTCCAGCTGGAAGTAAATATTGTAGGGAACGGTTTTGAAATTGAAAAATTTCCCTTCTCTTATAACTTCGTTTAGATTACATTAATGTTAAATATGTTGAACACTCATATTTTGGCCACAGCCACCACCTAGTCTCAGTCATTTGAGGTGGTTTTTGAGTATATTACTATACAAGAGGAACAAATTATACAAGAGTTAGCTCATCAGTAACACCCGAAATTCCCATCTGTTCTTGAGATCCAACCGCAGCAAGCTTTTTCCGCAATGCCACCAATTCTTCCCCGGCATTACATATGTAGGCAGAAGCTTGTCTGCCGGACAAGGTTGCACCTTCCATACTATCTATATAATCCTGCAAACAGTAATGCCATGGAGAATTTATAACAATCCAGTTTTTCTTTGATCATGTTTAGTATTAACTTGGAAGTTAACTATGAAATAATTAGCACCCTTTGTTCTAAGATAACCTCTTGCACCGAAATCATGTATATCTGTTTCAAAGGAATGAGCTATATATGGAGTGGAGTACTATTTCAGTCAATCATATGCTTAAATAACAGTTTATTGATACTAGCCTTCGATATCAATCTAGGAAACTCTTTATCAGATCCAGCTAAAGGTTACCGGGAGAAAGAAAGGTGGAAGTTACCTGCTTTGTGTAAGATCCAGCAAGGAAGAAGTTCTTTATGGGTGTTTTCTGATCAGGTCTGAATGGATCTTTACCAGGTCCTTCACGGTATAGAGATTGCCCAATTTTGACAACAGATGACCAAATAAGTTCTAACCCTTGGGATGATGGGAATAACGTCAAAACCTGAAAAACAAAACAGGAATAGTGAAGATGTGACGATCATGAGAGTGGAAATGCATGAAATCGACATAAAGCCAAGATGGTATGGAAGATCAGTGATTTGAATAGGTGCTAGTGCATATATGAGCAAGCCATGGCTATTTGACACAACTTGAACTTGTGCACATATGTAGAAGAACTAAGGTATTTCATAAAAAAAATGTTATAAAAAGTAGAGACATCAGATTATGCATTTTGGTTTCTAAAAAGTTGCAATCAACTTATGAATAAGAGTTCCTAAGAAGCTTCCAACCTGCTTTGCTACTCTCCTTATGATTTCATCATTTGTCAGTGGCATGTAAGGGTCACCTGGTGTCAAGACACATCTGAAAGAAACCAACAAAATGAGCAAATAGCATTGATTGATAGAATACAAGATAAATCACCGACAGAGCTTACTGGAATCTACAAACACAGTATTTATGGGTCAAATTGTTCTCTAGATTATACTACAGGTTAGAGTTTTTGGACATTGGATTAGTGAAATCATTTTCCCCCTATTTAAGTCCCTAGCAGTGACAATAGTTACTCAAAGCATGGTTATAAGTAACCAAAAGGACAAAAACCCTTGCACAATGTAGAGTATGCAATTTCCTTACTGGAGCAATGAACCTTGTCCTTTGATATAGTAATCTTCTGGTGAAGTGAGAGCCAAGTCAGCAAAGCAGGAGAAATCCGCATCGGGAGTATACAGAAGATTATCAAGCCCTACTGCTTGCCTTAGTTGCCTTTTAATGAATTCAGGGAAAAGAAAAGGAGAAAGAAGAACAACAAGCAATTCGTAAGTACTTAAAAGAAGCAATTCAAAAGGATGCTTTTATAAGGCCCTCTAAAAGAATCACACTTTGTAGACAACAGTATAAAAGAATCACCTTGACCGTTCGAGATCCTGTAACTCTGTGACCCAACCATTGTATCTAAGCTGAACAGTGACAACTGGCACTCCTACTAGCTCATAAATGTTATTAAAAAATTCTGACTCCCTCCACTGGGATGGAAGCAACCTTTTTATTCCAGGGACATCACATGCTACCATATATAGGAAACAGTAGTTAAGAATAATGTTTTGCAAAGGAAAATGGAAAACGAAAATTTTGAAGTGCAAGACCTAACTACTGACCTGCAACGTAAGCATCAGCTTTTACAACTTTCTTGTTAGTAGCCTGCAATATATGAAATTTACAAGTTAAGCCCTCAAATAAAAATCATAATCTTCAAAAGCTTAATATGTATAATCCATTCAAGATGCAGTATGAAAGATTGCATATCATACAACTTAATCCTTTCAAAGGTCCAATTTTAAAACTGTTCCAATCAAAAACATGAAAAGCAACTAAAATTCCAATATTTGAAGAAAGTAACTTCACAGTTGATTTACTTTAGACATGGCAAGCCCTGTGATATATGTCTCTCCATTGGCAGCTCTATCATAGAGTATCTCTCTGCATCCCCACCTCAGATGGAACCTGCTCTACCAAATAATAATATAAAAAACGAGAACTAGTGAATTCATGGGAGAAAAAGTATAAACTGCAGTGTATCCCAACTAACAAGTTTATAGACTTATATTAATAACATACCTTCCTCCTCTTTCTGTGATATAGTTCTTTATGGGACCACTCAAGTAGCCATCTGGAGAACCCTTCAGCATGCGCAGAAGGGAAGCCTCTGTCTTAGTGGCAAACAATGAGAAAATAGTGAGCATACAGCGAGCACTGATGTTATCACAGTCAATAAAACCCAAGGCGTAAGCAACTGGATCCCACATTCTCTGGATACTCATGCGTGTACCACCTTTAGATAAAAACCAATCAGAGAAGCTTATCTGCAAGAAGTAAGCGGAGTTAAAAAGGTAATGTCAAACACGCAGGGGGAAAAGCCAAGAAAAGAAGAAAGCCCAATTAATGAATATCAAAAGCATGAGAACTACGATGATGGAACAGAGTGAACACATTTAATTTGAATCTGTTACCCTCCATAGCAATAAAAGAGGATCATAAGTGTTATAGGAAAGCTTCTGTGATTAAGATGTGGAATAAGTTTTATTAAAGTTAAGAGCTCTCTCTGCAAACACTCTACTCCAGTGACAAGTCATCATGGAACAAAACCAAAAGAATGAAAGAGTAATAATACATACACTATCTAAATCTCTTATATCCCTCATTGCTGCATCAGGATCAACAAGAGCCTTCACAACTGGACTTAGGGCAAGTGCCAGAGCATTTCTTGCTTTATCATAAGTCTGCACTTGAAAATGCAAACGCAGTGAGTAGACAAAACATCAATACTTTAGCTGGAGGCAAATGAAAATAAGACATAACTAACAGGAAATGGTATATTTTTAATCTACATTTGTTTCCAATTTTCTTCTGGTGCTGATGTAGAAATTTATGGGTACTGTCGGCTATATAGATTAAGAATCAGAAAACAGGGCTTGCAATGCCATTGATGACAAAAATGCAGCAGTATTATCAACTATTACAGACAAAAGGGGAGAGAGTACTATAACAGACAGCAGAAGTAGGGTCCTAAAAAGCAGTATTCAGAGAGTATACAATG